ACACAAGGCTGCCTGATAGCTTTCAGCCAGGGAGCATCTGTTGAGCTGGCATTGGCGCCAGTGGGAACAAAGCCAGTCAGCCTGGGTGGGGAGTGAGGAAGTCAGGCTAGATAGAAAAAACTTAGGCTGAGAGGTGGGGTGCTTCGTTACATTAAATACGGGCCTTCAATTTCTACAGCAAAGCACTGAGAGGTTGATTCACTGTGGAAATGTCTGGGAGCCTCTTTTTGGCCCAGTGCTGCCATGCTACTCCATGGAAAGCATGAGGAACTAAAGATGATGCTTCCAGCAGCTGCTCTGCCTGTCAGTTCTCCGTATCTGCTTCATAGGATGAGACCAGACAAAGGCTCACTCTCTTGTTTCTCAGGGACTACCAAGTAGATGAATTCCCTATCCCCATCCTTCAAAAAACAAAAACGTTTACTTATTTATTTATTTAGAGGGAAGCTGGGGGTTCCCAGTTTGTTTGTTTGTTTGTTTAAAGGTGGGTGTACACCTGCCATGGTGTATGTGTGGAGATCAGAGGCCAACTTGCAGGACTCAGTCCTCCCCTTCCACCATGTAGGCTCTACACATTGAACTGAAGTCATCAGGCTTGGTGGAAAATGCTTTTCTCTACTGACTGATCCATCTCACACCCTTGCCACACTCCCTGCCCCCATTTTTTCCAGACAAGGACTATATTGCCTATAGTGGTCTAAATATGACAACATGTGGCTCGGTCAACCCTCCTGCCTCAACCCACTGAGTAGCTGGGATTCCAGTAATGTTCACTCCCTCAGGCACACATATGAACCTTAAGGCGAGTTTTCAACGTTTTCCTTTCCTACTTGGAGACAAATCTGCCAGTTCACATAGCCAGACAGCTGGCTTCCTGCTGACCAACTCTGGTGAAAGCCAGTAGTCCCTTAGCTTTCGGCCTCTCAGCCATTCACGTCACAACTAGGCAGAAGTTCACTCTTTCCCACAAGCACGATATCTACATTACCACAAAGTTCCCAAGTATGATGCTTTCTTTATCTTCATTGGCCTGTGCGCTCCATTAGGGAACAGACTCTGCTATTTGGCTTCTATTTCCAGAGCCTGGCACAGTGCCTGGCAAACACAGTAATTCAGTGAGCATCTGGTGAGTGACGGCCTGCACGGGTCTACCAGGCGAACAGTGGGAGGACAATCTGGCCTCAGTGAACACAAAGGTGGATAAATATTTGCTCCTCTTCATGGTTTTATTAATTAGAAGCTCTCTATACAATCTCCCATAAACATTACTGTTTTGTGATGTTTATGACATCAAGCATCCTATGGGACTTTTCCAGCAGCATCTGTTTCTCCCTATAACATTTTCAATAGCTGATTACATTCCCCTCGTCCAATGAATAAATAAAGAAATGCTTGTTGGTCAAACAACATTATAATTGTATGTCTATTAAAATCTTCTAACTCAAACACCAATGTTTAAAAAAAAAAAAAAAGAAGTTCAGGCCCCAGGAAAAACACTGGCAGAAATTCACATTGCCAAAGACAATGTTAATGTAACAACCCATACCAAGTAGCTTGAACTAGGTGTTGTGGAATGTGCTTGTAACTCCAGCACTGGGGAAATGGAGATAGGATGATTCAAGGTCATCCTTACCTACCTGTGGAGTGTGGGGCCAGCCTGGGTTTCACAAGACCCTGTGTCAAAAACAGCAGGGCTAGGGAGATGGGTCAGTGAAGTACTTGTTATTTAAGCATGAAGACCTGAGTTCAGATGACCACACGTACATTAGAAACCAGGTACCGTAGTATACAACAGCAATCCTAACACTGGAGAGGCAGAAACCAGTGGATTATCCCAGAGCTCAGTGACCAGACAGGTTAGCGGATTCAGTGAGCTCTATGTTCGGTGAGAGACTCTGTCTCAAAAAAATAAGGTGGAGAACAACTGAAGATGACAGATGACCTCAATTCCAGGACTGTGTGCACACACCACACACACACACACACACACACACACACACACACATAGCTTTGAGGCGAATGCAGGATGGTGAAGTAAAGTAGTATAGCAAACCCATCCTACTTCAAGTAGCATGGGTTACCAATGACAGCAGCCAAAAATCTATGGATAACTCACAGTGAAAATTAACCATGTCAATACAAGAGATTGTTTTGCCATCACTGACATGAAACAGTTCTGTGACTCCTTTGCCAGGCATGGTGAGGCCAGGGCGCTAGGTGGGCAATGTGACTGAAGAAGACTCTGTCACACACGCTTATACTTAGTGACATATGGATCGAGACTAGACCAGCAGTGAATAGAGGGGAGCCTTGATTCAAAGGGCAGGGCTTCTCTTTGCTGCTGCTGCTGGCTTTCCCTATAATTACCCAATTAGGGCCATATCCCTGCTTCCTGTGGGAGTCTTCCCTGCTGTGGAGAATGAGGTCGCAGCCCCAACCACACAGACCTATAATAAACCATCTGGGTGATGAAGAATAGCTTCAGATACACTTAGATTATTCCCAAGAGGTGGTTGAATACACGTGTGGCACTCTTAGCCTCAGGAGAAAGAATTTCTCAGAGGAATTGTGTATTCTGACACGATCTCTTAAGTGCCCAGTTACAGTCTTATCATATGACTCCAACAAAAGAGGTTGAATGTTACTGGGTCTATTAATATCGAGCCTGGAATAAATAGATCAAACAAGGCTCTTACCAACCATACCAATTACTCCACTCATCCTGTTATTCAGTAGTATGATTATGTGATAGTATATGCGTGTAGGGGGGGAATGAAGAAAACCTATTATGTATACAAAGAGTTCACGTTAAACTAAGGGGTCATTCAAATTTAAGCTACTAACGTTGATATCTGTATTACTTAGAGGCACAAAATCAAAAGCGCTATCTTCATTTTCAGAGTTCAAATCTCCTGAGGAGAAAATGTATATGAGCCTGCAGGGAGAGCAGTTTATGGGATGGTAGACAGCTCCAGTTTCAGAGGGGCAAAGACATGTTGCTGAACTGTTCTCAACAGAACTGATTACAAAGTTGTCTGAGTATTGTTTTTAGGAAGATTCCATTACCACCATGGGGGAAATATACCTTTCACTCCCCTTTCCCTTGTTTTGGGAGAACTGAATGTTAGGCAATATTTATGTACAGACACATGGAAATGACGGCCAACATTTGTTTCCATGTGGGTCTTTAGATGAAGATTTAGAAATGAAAAACCTGGATTTGGCTCTGTGCCAGTTGCCTTCAATTCAGAAGACAGTTCTGACTCCCAGAAAGTTGGGTTAAAATAGAAAAAGGGAGAGACCATGTGAGGATCACAGGAGGTTTTGCCACAACTGGTGAATGAATAGGATTTACACAAACAGGGAACAGAGAAGGCCTAGGGGCAGAGAGTGAGGGAAGATGAATGGGAGTGCTGGAGGCACTAAAAGGTGTGCTTCCTGGCTCGTCTGTGTTCACCCCTGGGTCTGTAGCCCTTCGTGAACAGATCTTTACATGTGTTCAGTCAGGAGTGATGGGAAGGTGAGGAGGCCTGCCATACAGGCAGGATACAAGCACTGCCCTTCAGTGAAGGTTGTGACATCCCTCAACCAAAGGAAAATTCCAGCACAGTTGGTCACACTGGCAGAACATTTCCATTGGATTTTTTTTTTTTTTTTTTTTGCCTCTGTGTGTCAGGAACCAGGCTGGGGCACAGGGGGCCAGAACTAACTGGGGAAGGTTTTCTAAGGCAGGTCAGAATGTGGGATTTCTTAATTAGAAACAGAGATCAAGAAGGGAGCCTGTCGTGCAGCTGTAGGGGGAAAAAAAAAAAAGCCTACATGGAAATTCATGAGAATGGTTGGTTGCCTCTAGGGAAAAGGTTGGGAAGGGGTGAGCTGGTAATGGCACAAAGGCTCTTCCATCCTGCCTGTAATGTTAATAAGAAGAGAATGCCTGTAGGGTGTTAGCTCAGAGATAGAGCCCCTAGTCAGATGCAAGGCCGTAGGTTCACCAGTGCACACTGCTTGGTGGTGTTTTTATATTATCTGACTAAAAACTGCTTTTTAAAACACAAGGGCTGCCTTAAAGGCTGGAGGAATAGCAGTGGTGGAGTCCTTGGGTATCCTGCCCAAGGCTCCCAACACTACAAGAAATCTTTAACTTAAAAAAACCATAGAGAAAGGAGAGTTGGACTGAGGGGAAGCAGGCAAGAAACCATGACCAATAGCTTATGCCTTGGAGGCTGCTGGGCTAAGGCACCCAAAAGGATGAGTTGCGGGGCAAGTGCAAATAGTAATGGTCTCAAACAAGAATAGCCTGGGTCACAAAAGGAGCAAATGGAAGCGGTTAACAGAATTCTGAGAGGAAGTTTTGAGGAGAAAATGAGCCTAAGCCAAGCCTAGCCCACCTTTCCTGTCAGACTGAGACTCCCCACAGCCGTTCTCACTGAAGGGAGCACACACTAGCTCCTGAAACTGGGCCTCTGGCCCGAGTTGCGTTGCTCCTTTCAGCCTTTTCCTCAGTGGTGTAGGATTCAGGAAATACGTGGAAGGGGCCCCCTCATGTGGACCACCCACAGCCTCCTGCCCTCTCTCAAACTTTCTACCAATGCCACTCCACCGCACCCCTCCCATGACTCATCCGCTTAGTTCCTGAAATAGAGCTTCCCCGTCTCTGTTCAGGGCTTCCCTCGAGGATGTCCCTGGAGAGTCCCTGAGAGGCGTGGGGACCACCTTTCCTGCAAGAAAATGCCTTCTGAGGCAGTGGTCCGAGTCCGTGGTCCGAGCTGTCCTCCACGCTCGGGGAGGTAACCGTCCAGCAGAGAGGGAGGCCCACCGCCCTTCAGATGTCCTCGGGTTCATGCCTCTGCACCACACCTACCACCTTGACCCTGCCACCTGGGCTCTTCGAGTGGGCTCCCCCCCCCCGAAAGATGCCCACCCCCAGGACCCCCTTCCAGAGACTAGGCGGGAGGCGCGCGGTGGCGGGGAGCCGGGGGTGGGAGGTGCAGGACAGTTACCTCATTGAAGCCCTCCTGCAGGGCGTCCAGTAAGTTCCCGCGGGTCAGGCAGGCTAGCATTGTGCCCGCCGTGGGGCTACCCCAGATGGGGTCGCGCCGCCGCCGCCGCCTCCTCCCTCCGCACACAAAGGCGATCGGCTCAGCTCCCAGGGATCTCTCCGGAGTCCCGCATGCCACTTACTGGAAACCCAGACCCGGAGCCAAACTAGCGGCTTGCACTGGGCATGCTCGCGCGCGGGCCGCAGCCAGAGGGGCCCGGCGCTGTACTGGTTCCTATAGAAACGGCGAGGCGCGCACAGCGCGGAGAGGCGAGAGGCGCTGGCGGGCAGCCCCCGGTCGCTGGTGTGTGCGGGAGAAGCCGAGGGCGCGCACGCGCGCTCCGGACTGCTGCTCGCCGCAAACACTCACACACGCGTGCACACACACACACACAGGCCCGCGCTGACACCAGCGAGCTTGCCAGCGTGAGCATATGCTTGGAATCACTACACTGCAGGTCTGGAGGCGGGCGTCCCCGCCCCCGCGCACGCACACACACGCGTACGCATACACACACTCGCGTACACACACATGCACGCACACGTATTCACCCTGCTCATTTAAGGCTGCAAACACCTCACCACAAGGTGGTGTGAAAAGGAGGGAGTCTCAGGATTTCCCCCACCCCACCCACCTTATTCTCCAGACTAACAGCAGTCTTTTTTTCCAC